GTCGGCATATGTGCTTTCGACCCATGAGAATAGTGAGGAGACTCACCTCTAAATCTAAACAATAACTGATGAGCTCCCGACTCTGAATCTCAGCTCTAACCGACGCCTAACTATCCACAATACCCAAAATACCCCATGGGTCAAACTAGGTCAAATGGACAAAAAGTCAAAAAGACCCTACTTAGCTGACCACCACGTCGTGGTAGCCCTTTACCGCGCCATGGTGTTGAAAACGACAAAATAGTCGCAACCAGTCCTGCTAGCACGCTGTGGTGGCCTTACTACGCCGTGGTAACTGGATTTTTAGTAGCTTAACACACTCATCCATTTTCTTCGATCCTAAAGGGTCTCCAACTCAGATATGGTCCATAATAGGGTCTAAATGGATAAATTTTCCAACTTTATCCAATAGAACCCTCCAAAGTGTATATATCTCAACTTTAAGGTCCAAAACACTACATGGATTAAGCAATAATCACTCAATCCATAAGGTTACTTGTCCAAAAGCTGCATAAGAGTCTCTAACACCAAACACATCATAAAAATTTGTGATTTTCAGACATACATGTCCAATGCATGTCATGCACTCTTATTAGGTCAAATTAGCGCAAAAGGGCTAAGATTCCATGCATGGCCTCAAAACTCAAATCTAAATCAGATCCAAAGCGCCAAATGCTCCAAACCTCCTGTAGATTCGTAAAGTTGCAAGCTTTATGAGATTCAACCTTCCAAAACAACAAGGCATGGAGAAAAGTAGGTTAAATCCATAGATCTATCAACTAACTCATCAAGATGAAGAGTTTATACCTTCTTGAGATGCTTGAGGAAGATAAACTCTTAGACCTACATTGCTTTGGATTCCTGATAAGATCTTCCACCACATTCTTCCTTCACAAGCACCAAACACACACACTTGGAGGCCAAAAACTCATACAAGGCATCTAGGGTTTGCAAGGGATGATTTGGAGAAATGGAGGCTGATGGGAAGGAGACTATGAGGGGTTAAGGGGTTTAAATAGGATTAAAGCCTTAAACTTTAGGGTTTTTCTCCAACAACCACCACCACGCCATGGCAAAAATCACCACACCGTGGTGGGTCATTAAACTCCCACGCTCAAAAGCTTATCACTACGCCGTGGTGAGGCTTAACCATGTCATGGCCGAAGAAAAAACTAGTATACATTACCCACAACCAAAGGGGTCTACCTCTCTCTTTCCCAAAGGCTCTAAACCTTGTGATAGCCAATCTTCAGGTCCCAGTCCCGTATTAGGAAAGGATCTCGAATAGAGTGTTACAACTCTACCCTAATTAAATTAGATTTCGTCCTCGAAATGACTCCTTACCACCCTCATGGGAACCAATGTTCCGAACAAAACCTCTAGTGCTGAACAAAACAATGCTCCTATAGCCGCCGAACCAACACGCCATTGCTAACATTCCGGAATCCTATACTTTCCTGACCCCCACACAGGTGGAACCAATCTAAAACACAATCACAAGAGCCTTTTTCTACCATCAAAACTAAAAGAATCCTTTTTTACCCTAAACCTTTCAAATGATGCCCTTGGCATACAAATTCCTTATTACATAACTTGTTGAAGTAAAGATATTGCATATATGGACTAATGAATCCCAACACAAGTCTCGACCAAAAGCCAACTTGGTACATAACTCATACCCTGAAACCAAGGACTTGTACTTGCATTTCCCCTAAAACCCTCTGATCCTCAGCGACCTTTCGATGTACTGGGATATTAAATCCCCAATCCACTATTGAGACTGCCAGTCTCTCTCCTAGTCCAGCTACCAGGCTACCACATAGTCTTACAACACTTCAATTTAGCCATGGTCACCAACCATGGTCTTACCACACCTCTACCATACCGACCAAATTCGATGTGAGTTGAACCTACATCTAACTATATCCCAATCGGGTATTCGGGTCATGCTACGAAACCCAAGCCTTAATCAAACAAGAATAGGCAGAGAGGCCCTAACACTACCCTCAACCTGGATCCATCCACATACTCGTTAAGCGTTACTACGGATATGTAACGAAACCAGAACATCCTCCTTGTGCAATCCCTTAGATCAACGATTCTCCCCTACTTGGGTTCGACTGCGACCTTCCAATCCATAAAATTTGATGGATTACCAATACATCTCGTATCCTTGCAATTCAAATTGTCGACATCCTGAGCTTACAAATTCCAGCGTTCCATTACTAGCCAATCTCGATGACCGCACAACTCTTAAAATCTACATAAATACTCCCCTAAACCTCATCAAGCCCGATAATCCCAATCAATTTCCATGATACAACATTGAATCCTTAAGCCCTTTATGCTAATGACAAATACTATAACCCTTAACCAGAACTGGTGAATCTTCACTCCAACTTCTAATCCTTAGAAGGATCTTTGCATTCTAACCATCCACAACCCTTGCAATTAAGAAATTTCCCCTTGGCACTTCTAATGACCAAACAACCGCATGCGACTGCCACCACCATCTTCGTGCTACCACTCTTTCCCTAGAAGCGTACCATATTGAGAAAAGATTAAGTTAAAGTTCTATAGATGCACATCTTAAAAATAGAATCAATGATCTCCCATTCAGTGTCATCATCATTAGTGGGTTTGGACGTTCCGTTCAAGTATCCAACAACACCACCGGTACAGCTGAAATAATTCCTTTTATGAATCATAATTGAGTTGGTTCAAATCAAGAATAATAGGAACATATGTGTTGATATTAGTGATGAATATGGCTTCATTTTGGTAGCGAGAGGGTTGTTGTTGTCAGAGGAGCTTGACATGGTGACACAACAATTTGAGAACTAGAAAAGAAAGAGAGAGAGAGAGAGAGAGAGAGAGAGAGAGAGAGAGAGAGAGAGAAAGAGAGAAAAAGAGATGAACGGCCGACAGAAGTAAGCAACGAATAAGGGTGGTCGTAAGTGTGCAACCGAAGATTATGCTTTTAAGAGGAGCTCTTTAGGGCTCGGATGCCATAAAGACGTGTGTAATATTTTCCTTAGTCTACTTTGCATTGATATGAGAATATAAATAAACAATATAATACATTTGGGCTATTGTTCTAACTAAGCAAACTGAAATAAACTATATAATACTACACAATATAACATACAATATAAACATATACGCTAATACTCATATAACTAAACTATTTAATTTGGTTGTCAACCAATATTTTAAAAAATCGTTCGAACCGACCGACCGAAAACTGAAGACGATAACAGTTCAACAATGATCGTTTTATACTAATTTCTAGACCGACCAAACCGAACGGTTTCTTCAAAAATAGGATTGAAGCGATGTAATATTTATGGTAAAAATCTGTTTGAACCAATTTATTAGACTTAAATATTTGGATTTTACTTAGGGGTTGTTTGTTTACTTCTTAATTAAAAAATTAAGAGGTAACCTCTTAAAAATTCAGATATGCTATGTTTGGTAGCCTATTATAAAACATCTCTTAATTTTATAAATGCCTCTTAAAAATTAGACATACAACCGCATTTGAAAAAGAATAAAAGATTTATGTGCCCTGATAAAACATGCCTCCCCCTTTTCTTCAATACGCACACCTCGTTTCTTCTTGAAGCGATCTTCTTCTCCCCGGCAAACATCATCGGTGCTGCTTCTTCCTCCTCTCCAACCGTCGGTTCGTCGCCTCCTTCTTCCCCTCGCACTCCAACCGCTATCGTCTGCTCCTTCCTCATCGTCGTCGTCGGTCAAGGCAACTAAGGTACATCGAACCCCAACTTCGGCCACCCCAATGCCTTCCTCTGCCACTCCAGTGCTTTCCTCCGCCATCACTGTCACTCCAACGCTATCCTCCATCTACGCTATCGATAAGCTTTTCTTCTCCGAATTGGAAATCAATTTCCACGGAGTTTAAAATTGAATTCCAAATAACCCTTATAATGTTTTAATGTTGAAATCGTTATCATCTTTATGGTTTTGTTAATTTGATATTTGTATGAAATCGGTTTCCATGTTTATTTTACTTGCATATGAACAATTCAATGAAATGCCTCAATGAAATTGTTTCAATTTCTAATTTATTTAAATTTGTTTGTCTTTAATCTTTTTGTAGAAAAGAAACATTAGATGATAAAAACTGTTCTTATCATTTGTTTGGTTGATATAGGCTATTGATAATGACCAAGGATTCCATATGGATGCTATCAAGAAGGGTGATAATGAATGAGTTTTTACTATGATAAAAATTGTTTGTATCATTTGTTTGTTTGAAATCCCAATGTTTTTTTTATTGATTTCTTTATTATAGCATCATACAGATCTGATCACACCATTGTATTTTGTAAAAAACTATTTAGTTATAGCAATATCATTCAAAAACAATGCAATTTTGATTGATATAGTTGGGTAGATTTATCAAATATTTATGTTTGATTTGTTTAATTTTTGAGTTATGTTTAATTTTGGATTTTGTATGGTGTTTTTATAATTCTACAATAAATAATAAAGAAGGGTAAAATGATCATTTTTATAATTCAGCACAACAATTCAGAGGTTCCAACCAAACAACATGTTAAAAATTTAGATAATAAAAGTTCAGACCCTCTTAAAAATTCAAACCTCTTAAAAATTCAGAACTTAAAAATTCAGATCCTGCAAAACAGTCCCTTAGTCTGTTAAAAAACAACTCATTTCCAAAACAAATTGAATAGACACTGCCACATATAGACCGACGGGCACACCAATTGAACCGACAATCGAATCGGTTGAATCGGTAATCAATCATCCTACTGGTTCAACTAAAAGATCGGTTTTTAAAACATTGTTGTCAACTTAACTTAGTGAGTAAAAAATCCCAATAAACATATTAATTTTGGATTGGATTCGAATTGAATTGAGTGGTTGGACCGTTTCTTCATGAGCACTAGATTTGAAGCACTATTGTGGTAATAAAACTAATTGGTGGGTTGATATCATAAACCAATAAACAAAAGGGCAATTTTTGTAAATTATTTATGAAAAATTGAAAATATCATGTCGACGGCTTTATTACAGCATTAATTATGATGTCAAGAAGTATCACCGTGTGTACTCTTGACCTCAGTTCCTACTTATATAGCTCGGCTCTTCCTCTTCCACAAATCTCATTCATCACGTTTAATTCATAGAGATCACGATGAAGGGAGCTAAGAATTACTTGAGGATGTCGACTGATCCAACTCTATCAGAAGCAGCTTCCAAATTAATCAACTCCGATTTGAAAGATATCGGAGAAGCTACGAGGAAATTGGCTGATCATGTCATCAAGCTCGGAGTCAGCGGTGGTTTCATCACTACCTGCCTTCAATGGTTCGCTTGCTTCGCCGCCATGTAAGTACAACACTAGCTTCGCATGATCGCATCATCTTCTTCAGTTCGTCGTGTTAAACTATTTGATTTTAATTGGATCTAAATTGACAAATTTTGCTTGATGTGTTGTGTTACAGTTATTTGCTGATACTCGATCGAACAAACTGGAGGACGAAGATCCTCACTTCACTTTTGGTCCCCTACATCTTCTTGACTCTTCCTGACTGGCTCTTCGGAATTTTGCAGTAAAGTATCGATCCGATAACCGAAATTTGTCTCTCGATTCATCATTCTTCGTGTTTTAATCATAAATTTGTTTCGTAATTTTTCAGCGGAGACATCGGGAAATGGATCACTTTAGTCGGAGTCGTATTGCGCCTCTTCTTCCGTGAACATTACCCAGGTCTAGTTACCTAAACCATAATACAATCCGTAATTTAGGTTTTCAATTGAAATCGATTGCAATGAATTTCATTAATTTGAAACCAAATCTCATTACGATTGTTCTGAAAAATACAGAATACCTAGAGTTGCCGGGATCTTTACTCCTTTTGGTTGTGGTAGCTCCAAACTTCGTCGCCGGCTACGTCAGAGTAGGGTGGATCGGAGTGATTGTCTGCTTGGTTATCGGATGCTACTTGCTTCAAGAACACATCAGAGCTTCTGGAGGATTCAAGAACGCTTTCACCAAGAGCAATGGTATTTCCAACACCATCGGTATCGTTCTCTTGTTCGTCTTCCCTGTCTGGGCTATAATCGGGTTAATATTCTGAGATGTTTTGTGATTTCTGTGTATTCGATAACAAGAATCCTTCCATTGATGTGTGCATTGAAGGTCCGTTTGTATTTATGTAATGTGAGCCTTTTTCTTTCTTTGATTCGAATCCGATTAATAAGTTTGATTCATTGTGCATGGGTTGAAGCTCCAAATTTGTTATGGGAAGTGACTTTAGGGTATAATTTTTTGTCAATATGCAGTGCAAATGGAAAGAGAAGAAAAAAACAACTAATTTTGGATTAAACTAAAACTAAAGGTCCCTTCCCTTTTGGGATTGTGGTTGACGAAAGTTTGAACCCCACAAACGCTATTCAACTAAAAAATATCTAAAAACACTGGAATAAATTGTAAATTTGGTCCATGTTATTTACTAACAAATACAAGTTTAGTCCATATTTTCTCATTTAATTCAAAATTTAACCTTCATTGCAGATTTGATCGCTCATTTTAACTTTTGTTTTTTTAGTTCACTTGGTAACATACACCTCATGTGAGACATATTTGTCATTTTAGTATTTAATATCATGTTATTTTTTATTTAAAATTAAAAAACTTCTTGAGGTGGCCGATGAAACCCCTCAAATATTGCAGCATTATGTAAATTATTTTGTCGTGTCACCTCTAAAATCATATGTGATAACCATGATATTTTGTCTTGTGTCTACCACTACTTACTCTCTCTCTCTCTCTCTCTCTCTCTCTCTCTCTCTATATATATATATATATATATATATATATATATATATATATATATATATATATATATAAATAAGGACAAATGTTTAGCATCAAATGATATGAGAGTTTGATTAGGGTTTAGTTTGTTAATTAATTAATAAGAAACTTATAGACTTAAGCGGTTCAAGTGTAAAGATATGGAAGTCAGATATTTAGAAAAATTACGAAAATTATGGATAATTATTTAGTGACCAAGTAATTATCTTACAAGGTTCAAAACTCTCCCTATAAATAAAGTAGCCTTATGAATGAAATGCAAGTGATTTCCAACCCTAAATTCGGGTACCCTCTTCCCAATCTCGAAAATCTCCCAAAGCTCAAAGATGTGGTGCGTTAACGATGAATCAAGAATCAGCTTTGGTGTTCAGTGTGTTCATCTGATCTAGATGTGTCAAGGATGCTGATCTGCATTTTGGATGCGACTACGAAAAAAGGGTTTTGGTTTTGGCTCTTTGCATCCTCTCCATCAAGAACTATGAAGATTTCAAATGACTACAAGGGTATGTATTCATTATTATGTTTTTTTTATTTTAGTTGTATCAGATTTGGTTAAACTTGGATCCTCAATTGGATTATAAGATCATTTTAATATTGCTTATGTTCTGTCTATGTTGCTTCCTTTGTATCCCCGCAACCCAATAATGATTATAGGATAATATTATTTATTGGATAGAGAAAATATATAGTTAAATAGAGAAAATGAAATAAAACTACATTAGAGAAAATGAAATAAAATTACAGTAGAATAACGTAAATATTACAAAAGTAACATTTTTTTTTATGGAAATTTGTTAATTCCAAATATCACATGTGTTTATTCCAATAATAATCTATCTAAAAGAGATTGTTATTTGCATAAAATTCAAACACATGTATAGTAAAAAGTGACAATTTTTCCATGTTAATATTAGATTAGTATAAGTTCTTTTTAAATAATAAATTAAAGGAAAAGCTTTATTCGGACTTTATACTTAAAACAAAATTTTAATAAGTTACTTCAAATAGTTTTCTAGAGCTTTTAGGATTTTAGAGATTTTAACTTTTAATTTTTAGATAAATTTAGTTTTAAAAACTTCCAACTAGTTTAGTGAATACTTAAGGTGTGTTTGAGATTGCTTTTTAACTTAAAAAGTTATTTTTAACAAAAAGAACTTTTTGACTTATAATTTTTTTTTTCAAAAATAGGTTTTAAAATGTGTTTGGATTAGCTTTCAAATGAACAAATACTAAAAAGCCAAAAGTCACCAAAAGTCACAAATTGTGATTTTTAAAACCATAATTTTTTCTTTTTGCCAAAAAGTTATTTTAAAAGGATTTTTATAATTGACAAAAAGCTTTTTAAACTTTTAGTTTTTAAAAAAAAACCAAAAATTTAAAAAATCATTTTAAAAATTATCCAAAATATCCTCTTAAACTTTGTTTGCCGTGTTTACAGCTATCTAATATGTTAGATTTTTTTTTTTGAGTTTTTTTAAATTATTATGTTCGACAAATCAACAAGTAATTTATAAGATTGCTATTTAGATTACATTTTCAAGATTTTTTTTTAATATTTCAAATATATCATTTATTAATTAGAAAAAAACATGTTCTTCTAAAAATCGATTTATATCATTTTACATCTATCAACTAATTTTATTAAATATTATTTTTTTTATTAACTATCAGCTATTTTGTCATGTAACAATTAAATTCTAAGCTATTATATCTAACAGACTAACACATACACAAATAAAAACTACGCATCTACGAATGAAAGTAAGAAGAATTGCTTTCAATTAAAATTCCAACTAAAAACTGTTTATTTATGATGATTAATACATCAAGAAAACCACATATTAAGTTGGATTGAATTCGCACACCTAAGCGAATTTGACCTTATCTCTTAACCATGTTCCTTTTGTTGTATGTCATCTCGACATTGGTTGGAATTCGAAATTGAAAAGACAAATATAGCATTATAATAATATTATTAAATTGAGAAAATTACAAAAATCATACTTGTAATACACATAAAATTATGAATCCCAACTCTTAAAAATTTATTTAACTTTTAGATCATCTAACTTAAGGCTCCATCTGTTAAGTTTATATAAATTATAAACCAATAGTTTTATCTTGAAAGTTGAGGGAGTTAAAGAAAAACTATGTAAAAAAATTTAAGGACTTTTCAGATAATAAAACTATTTAAAGGATGATATTGTAAATTTCAACATACATAAAGGACGATTTGTATAAATTACATTTAACAATTAACATCTCATATTTTCGACTGTTTTATGATTTTATAACTGTGCGTAAATTTGCTCTAAGATCCTACTTATATCTCCGCTCCCCCTCCTCCACAAATCTCATCCTTGAAATCAAGTTTTCTTCCTCCAAATTCATCACAGATCAAAAGAAATTTCAACAGCATGTTCAAGGGAACAAAGAATTACCTCAGGATGACAACTGATCCAACTGCATCTGAAGCAGCATCCAAGTTAATCAACTCAGATTTGAAAGAAATCGGAGATGCTACCATGAAATTAGCCGATCATGTCATGAAGCTCGGAGTCACCGGTGGTTTCATTACTACCAGTCTTCAGTGGTTCGCTTGCTTCGCTGCCATGTAAGTAAAATAAATTTCATCTTCATCATCAGTGTCGAGTTTATTTGATTTTGAACAGATCGTAATTAATTTTTGCTTGATGTGTTGTGTTTACAGTTATTTGCTGATTCTAGATCGAACAAACTGGAGGACGAACATGCTAACTGCACTTTTAGTTCCTTACATCTTCTTGACTCTTCCTAACTGGCTCTTCGGAATTTTGCAGTAACGTATCCGATGATCGAAAATTGTCTCTCTATTCATCTTCTTCCAGTTTTAATCAAATTGTTCGTTTTTTCAGCGGAGATATCGGGAAATGGATCACTTTAGCCGGAGTCGTATTGCGTCTCTTCTTCCGTGAACATTATCCAGGTCTAGTTACATAAATAATTCATAATACAATCCGGTTTCGGTTTCGGTTTCGGTTTCGGTTTCGATTTCGATTTCACTCATCCCCAATTTGATCCGATGTGATCTAAAAAACTCCGTTTCTGTTTTCAATCAATTTCGTTTTCATGAAATCAAAGCTCATCACGATTGTTCTGAAAAATGCAGAATATCTAGAATTACCGGGATCTTTGCTCCTACTGGTTGTGGTAGCTCCAAGCTTCGTCGCCGGCTATGTGAGATCAGGTTGGATCGGAGTGATTGTTTGTTTGGGTATCGGATGCTATTTGCTTCAAGAACACATCAGAGCTTCTGGAGGATTCAGGAATGCATTCACCAAAAGCAACGGAATTTCCAATTCCATTGGTATCGTCCTCTTATTTGTCTTCCCAGTTTGGGCTTTGCTTGGCTTACTGTAATTTAACACCAGTCTTGTTTTCTGTGTATTCGTTAATCATTCATGAATCCTTCGATATTGATTATGTGTGTATTGAAAGTCTCTTTGTGTTAATGTAATTTAAGCCTTTTTTGTTTGATTGATTTGAATCCATACCTACTGGGTTTGATTATGTTCTATATGGTGTTAATGACTTAATGGATCGATTTTGTTCAAAGGGTATATTCTATGGTTTTGGTTGTTTTTGAAGACAATGGCATCTAACCAGATGTCTAAATATAATTAAATAATAGTTTAAACTTTTTAACTTTCAAGATTTGATGTTAAACAACTGTTTCTTTGTTTCTAAGCGCCCATTGAAAAAAAAAAAAAAAAAAAAAAAAAAGCCAAGATATTTCTTTGTTTCTAGTAGGCACTGCCGCACTAGGCACGTTTGTTTCTAAATATATATATTTAAAAAGGTAACAATTTTCAACATTATTCATATGTAGTAAGATTGGAAAAGAAAATCGTGTAAAATGGTTCCTGTGGTATGCAATTTTTTGGGGTTTTAGTTCAAACTATGATTTTTTTGGATTGGTGGTCCTTTTGAGGTAGTTTGCTTGTGATTTTGATCCTTCAATAAATTGAAAAGACTAAATTGCCCTTATTATATTTATTTTCCACTTTTCTTTTTTTCTATAAATATTTATATATATAAAATAAAAATAGGGGGCCCACTCTCTCTCTCTCTCTCTCTCTCTCTCTCTCTCTTTCTCTCCCCCTTGATCTTGCAGCTATAACAAAAGCAACTTCATCAGGGGATTCAACTTCATAAGTAACTCTCCCTGTTTCTTCATCAACATCAGGAATCGTTGTGTGACAAATCGCAACTAATCTAAAGAACTTTTGAATAACATCAGAACGTGGTTCAAGAAGCCAATAACCATTGAGGAATCCTTTCATCCTCAAAATTATACCCTTTTACAGATAACCCAGAATCATCGTCTTCATCATCATTATCGTCATCAAGAACTCTTCCATTAACAACCGATGGTGATCCTGTCTTTTTCGCCATAGCTCTTTCAACTTCTGTAACACCACGTCCGTATGTTGTTCCTGCTATTGAACACTTGATGAACTCCATTGAATTGCAGGTTAAACTCCCGGTTTTGTCTGAGAAAATCGTGTCGATTTGGCCGAGTTCTTAGGTGATATTTGAAGTTCGCGCGTGTGCGGGTATATCAGCTTCTTCGTAGTACATATGAATGTCGTTGTTGATGAAAATCGTCTGTAGAACTTTCACGATTTCTATTGAAACGTATAGAGAAATCGGGATTAAATATGTGTATAACAATAAAGCTGTGAGAAAATGGAAAATCGCTGCAGCTGGAGCGCATTTCGGGTCGAAAAAGATCTATGAATCGTCGGGTCTCAAATACCATCGTTTCATTCTGTGATTGTGAAGATAAGGGGGATGGAGACTGTTGGTGGCGAATGATGGTGGCTTATGTGTTTATGAATCTTGATTGCGTTTTCTACATGTAGGAATTGAGCATTTTTGATGGGAGAAATTAGGTTTTTTGGAAGGAGAGAATATGGTGAAAGGAGGAAGAAGATGAAGAACAAAGTCGTATGTGTTTTTGGTTGTAATCCAGAGAGAGAGAGAGAGAAAGAGAGAGAGAGAGAGAGAGAGAGAGAGAGAAGTGGGCCCCAAATTAGGTAATTATTTTATTTTTCATTTAAATTAAATAGAAAAAGAATAAAAATATATATCAGAAGGGCATTATAGTCTTTTCAGTTTACTGAGGGACCAAAAATGCAAAGAAAGTAGCTCAAAAGGACCACCAATCCAAAAAAGTCGTGGTTTGCATACCACAGGGACCATTTTTGCAGTTTTGTCTAATTGTTAATACATAATACTTTTATTCATGACAAAATTGCAAAAATGGTCCTTATGGTATGCATTTTTTTGGGGTTTTAGTCCAAACCTCGACTTTTTTGGATTGGTGGTCCTTTTGGGTTGGTTTCTATGCGTTTTTGGTCCCTTACGAAACTGAAAAGACTATTATGCCCTTCTGATATATTTTTTATGCTTTTCTATTTAATTTAAATGAAAAATAAAATAATTACCTAATTTGGGGCCCACATCTCTCTCTCTCTCTCTCTCTCTCTCCGGCACCCACCTTTGACTATTGTTTTTCTCCCCCGATCAAACCTGGAAACCACCATTTTCTGATGAAAATGGAAGCTGTAAACCAAAATAAGAACCTAAATCAACAACCCAAATCTTGAACCCATTTCTCCTTCTTCACATCCAAAGCTTTGATGAGATAAACCAGCTCCAAACACCTTTCTTTTCATTCAATTTTGTTGTTGCCATCAAGAAGAAGAACAAGAGGTAGCTGCGTCTTCTACTTCGCCTGTCTTCTCCTTCGTTTCCTGTTATGAAATGTCAGGGGTGATGGTCAATTCCGACGAGAGTTCGAGGCAACAACCCTTTGTTGCTCCATCGTTTTACCTGTCGATCTTAGTCACTGAACTTCCCCTGAAGACTGTTGCGATCGTTGCTTCCTTTCCCCCCTTTCATCCTCCATTTCTTCTTCATTCCCTGGCCTGAACCCACCACCGAAGTGGGTGTTTCCTCGGAGCAAACATCGGAGGCAGCAACCCCTTTTTGATTCCTTCTGAGACAGAAGAAGCGCAGGAGCTGAAGGCGGTGACAGGCTCGAAGATGGTTAAAGCATCGAAGGTGATGGCAATATGGCTGCTCCGTTGCTCCTCTCGGCTGCTTTCCCCTTTTGTTGACGACTATGGAGGTGGGTAGCACACAAAGTGAACATAGGGTGTTTGGGCTATTTGATCGACGGGAAAGAAAATGAAGGAAGAAGGGAGTTGCAGAGGTGGGGGCAACCACCAGTTCTTCTTCCCTTGCTGGTGGTATCCAAGAACGAGAGAGAGAGAGAGAGAGAGAGAGAGAGAGAGAGAGGAGAGAGAGAGAGACCCATTTTTATATTTAATAATAATAATAATTTTAAAAAGGGAAAGAAAAATGAAAAATAAATTCATTAAGGGTATAATAGTCTTTTTAGTTTGGACAGGGACCAAAATTGCATGTAAACCAGCCCAAAAGGACCATCAATCCAAAAAAGTCGATGTTTGGATTAAAACCCCAAAAAAATGCATACCACAGGGACTATTTTTGCAATTTTGTCAATAAAACCCCAATCCAAAAAAGTCGTGGTTTGGACTAAAACCCCAAAAATTTGCATACCACAGGGACATTTTTGCAGTTTTGTGTAATTGTTAATACATAATACTTTTATTTATTTATTTATTTATTTATTTGACTCAAAAGTCACCTAGAAACAAGGAAATACTTTGTTTAACATTAAATCTTCAAAGTTGAAACTATTAACTAATTATGTTCAGACATTGCCGTTGACTTCAAAAGCAAACAAAACCATAGAATACACAATTTAAAGTTTCAACAATTCAATCCATCAATGGAAGGATTCATCATTCATTAACGATCAACGAATTCACAGTCACAGAAAAGCACAAAACATCTCACACTAGCAAAGACTTGCTATTGAATTACAGTAAGCCGATCAAAACCCAAACTGGGAAGACAAATAACAGGAAGATACCGATGGAATTGGAAATTCCGTTGCTTTTGTTGAATGCATTCCTGAATCCTCCAGAAGCTCTGATGTGTTCTTGAAGCAAATAGCATCCGATACTCAAGCACAATAGTACGCCGATCCACCCTGATCTGACATAGCGGGCTGCGAAGCTTCGAGATACCACAAAACAATCATGATTAAAATCCCAAGAAGGATGAACAGAGAGATAATTTGATCATAGATCGATACTTTACTGTAGATTTTCGAAGAGCCAGTTAGGATACGTCAACAAGATGTAAGGGAGTAAAAGTACACTAGATATGTTCGTCTTCCAGTTTGTTCGATCTAGTAGCAGCAAATAACTGTAACACAACACATCAAGCCAAAATTAATTAAGATCTGTTCAAAATCAAATAAACTCGACGAAGATGATGATGATGATGAAATGAGTTTTACTTACATGACGACGAAGCAAGCGAAACATTGAAGACTGGTGTTAATGAAACCACCGGTGACTGCGAGCTTCATGACATGATCGGCTAGTTTCATGGTGGCGTCTCCGATTTCTTTCAAATCTGAGTTGATCAACTTGAATGCTGCTTCTGAAGCAGTTGGAGCAGTCGTCATCCTGAGGTAATTCTTTGTCCCCTTGAACATGTTGATTGAATTTATTATTGATATGTGATAAAATTTTAAAATAATTTATACATATCGTCATTATGTATGTTGAAATTTACGATATCATACTTTTAAATATATTTATTAGCCCAATAGTCCTTAAACGGTTGTACGTAGTTTTTATATAACTATTTCTTCAACTAGTATAAAGATCAAATTATTGTTTTATATAAACTTAACAGACGGGGAGTATTAAGTTAGATGATCAGATTATTGTTTTATATATACTACAAGTATTATGATTATCTTTGTAATTTTCTCAATTTGATAATATTATCATAATATCAAATCGGTCTTCTGAATTTTGAATTGCATCGTAGAAAGCACTTAGTATCAAATCTTGATCCCGTACCGATATCATATCGGAACTAGTACCGAACCGTATCAAATTTAAACATAAAAGACAATACTCGGTACATTATATTAAGGAATTCGGGATTCAGTAACAGTGAAAGCACCGAAAACCAATATCATTCCCTGTACTATCATGTTAATTTGGTTCGGTACTTGGAATTGACTTTCGATCAAATTTTGTTTTCGAAAATAAGGAACATTACAAGTTTCGACCTACAGTCATCGCTATTGCATCTCATGTTGACATGAAATAGAACCAAAAAGAACATGAGTAAGATATATGGTCAAATTGCTTAGGTGCATATAGAAGTTAATCCAACTTATTTGTAATTTTCGTGGTGTAGTAATCACGATAAATACATGTTTCTTTTTTTTTTTTCCAAAATTTTAAAAACCCTCGAAAATTACTTGAAATAGCTTTTAGATTATGAATTTTGTGTTTTAAATATAAACTTTAAACTCGTATTCCCAAACAAATCCTTTTATATAATTCAAGTTTTTTCTTTTATAACTCTTATTCCAAAGGTAGTTGATCCTAGATTTCCTAAGGATTTCCAACTAATTAGCTTGATTGGTAATCAATACAAAATCATTGCTAAGATTCTTGCTAATAGATTGGCAAATGAGGTTGACTTGGTTGTGGGGATGGATCAGTCAACCTCTATAAAAGGAAGACATATTTTAGATGGACCTCTTATGACAAATTAAGGGGAATGAGGTTTCGAGGTGATTCAGAAAGTACAAGAAAAAGTTTATGATCTTCAAGATTGATTTTGAGAATGCTTTATTAACGCACACAATTATTATTGCGTATGTGTATTAGTTTAGCATATTTACTTTCCTTGTATATCCCTTTATTAGTTGTACTTTGTATCTATATTAGATGTACTCTGCTTATTTACTTTTCCAACTTCATGTACGTGGTTACAAAGTTCTTGGCCACATTGATGGTACAAAACCTCCAGCAACCGACCCTAAGTATGAGGCATGGGTTGAAATCGAGTTCTTGTCTCGAGTTCTTAAGGAGGAATCCACAGCCTTTGAAGCATGGAACTGCATCAAATCCATCTTTCTGAACAATAAAGGTTCACGGGCACCTGCTCTTGAGCATGAATTTACAAATCTAACCCTAAAATCCATGCCTTCCCTTGAAGCTTATTGTCAACGCCACAAAGAACTTTATGTTCAATTGAGTGATGTTGAAAGCCCAGTCAGCCAAAGTCGACTTGTGTTGCAACTAGGACGTAGCCTACCAAGTGAATTTGACACCACCGCATCTTACATTAATCAAACACCTCCCTCTTGGGAGACTCCTTGCAATATGTTAGAACTTGAACTCCATCGTCAAAACGCCCGAAATTATCTCTCGTCTCCGCCAATTGTTGCTGCTATCTCTCATGATTCACCCTCACTGTCTTCTCAAAACCATCGAGACAATAATCCTCGAGGCCCTTCTCGTAACCCTAATCCACGTCGGCCAAATAACCAGGCTCGATACATGCGTGGCCCATCAATGCTCTCTACCACCACACACCTTCTTATGATCACCTTCGGGTGTTTGGTTGTGCTTGCTATCCAAACCAAACTTCAACTCACTCACACAAATTAGCTCAACGTTCCACACTTTGCATTTTTCTTGGCTACTCTGCCAATTACAGATGCTATCGTTGCCTTGACATCTCCACCGGTAAAACCATTTTTCTTGGCTACCCTGCCAACTACAGAGGCTATCGTTGCCTTGACATCTCCACCGGTAAAATCATTTTGTCTTGTCATGTCACCTTCGATGAGACTAAATTTCCATACCGGGACCTCACAACCACCATTCTTCATGACTACTCCTTCCTTGACTCTGATCCTTCCCCACTCATATTTGAAAACCCAACACATTATAAAACCCCATACACACCAAATCCATCATCATCCCCTTCACCTACTACATCCCATCCTCCATCACTTCATTCTTCACCAACCCCATCTCCTCCTCCCTTCCTACCCCTAACGCTTCACCATCTCAACCAAACCCATCACCACCACCAAACCCATTCATCACATGGCTACTCGCTCTCGCCACGGTATTTACAAACCCCAAACTCCCTTCAACCTTCACACTTCATACGGGCCTACCATCTCCCCCTTCATACCTCCCACATTTCCACCCGTAATGATCCAAATTGGCATGCCGCCATGACTGATGAATATAAGGCTCTAATGGCTAACAAAACTTGGGAATTGGTCCTTCGTCCCCCCAGGGCCGGTCCAAACATATATGAGGCCCGGGGCGAAAAGAAAAAAAAATGGCCCCTCAAAGACAAATATAATAAAGATTCAAAAAATATAATTTATTCTTTAATATAGACGTTTTCAATTAGCAATAACAAGCAAACTAAATTGTTTATCTTTTGAGGTAATTTGAGTTTCAACCAACTTTAGGCCCTAAAATTCATTTAGGTAATAACTTTTTTATATATATAAACTAAATAGTCCATAAATTTTGGTCCCCCTGGAGTCGTGGGCCCTGAGCGGTCGCCCGGGTTGCTCACCGTCTGGACCGGCCCTGCGTCCACCAAATGCTCATATTATTCGGTGCATATGGCTATTTCGTCACAAATTCAAAGCGGATGGCACCCTTCAACGATACAAAGCCTGCTAGTTATCAACAGAAAAAGTCAACAAGTGGGTATCGATCGTGACACAACTTTTAGCCCCGTGGTAAAACCAACCACCATATACACAGTCCTCAGTTTAGCCATCTCCCGGGCCTGGCCTATTCATCAATTGGACGTTAAAAATGCATTTCTACATGGTGATCTTCGTGAAACTGTTTATATGTTCCAACCTCCCGGCTTCACCAACACCCAACATCCCGGTCATGTTTGTCGCCTAAGGAAATCTCTATATGGCCTCAAAAAAGCACCCACGGCGTGGTATGAACGCTTTGCCACATACATTTAGTCATGTGGCTTTCGCAGTAGCATATGTGACTCATCTTTATTCATCTTCAAACAGGGTAATAAAGTGGCCTATCTACTTCTGTATGTAGACAATATAATCCTCACAGCCTCTGATGAACATCTCCTTCGCGATATCATAAAATCTCTCTCCAGAGAATTTGCAATGATGGACCTTGGAAACCTTCACCATATTCTTGGCATCTCGGTTCAAAGACAAAATGGTGGTCTATTCCTATCTCAAGAAACATATGCTGCAGAGATCCTCTCCAGAGAAATATAACAAATTGCAAACCTTCCACCACTCCGGTTGATACAACATCTAAACTCAGTGCTACTGCCGGAAAACCATTAACCGATGGCACACTTTACCGAAGCCTTGTCGGTGCCCTTCAATACCTTACTTTTACACAGCCCGATATCTATTATGATGTCCAACAAGTATGCCTCTTCATGCACGCGCCTCGTGATCCTCACTTCCAGTTCCTAGAAAGAATCCTAAGATACATCAAAGGAACTATCTCTCATGGTCTGCATATTAATCCCTCTAAATCTACCAAGCTCACTGCCTACTCTAATGTTGATTGGGGGGGGGGGGGGGGGAATGCCGAAACACACATCGTTCCACCTCCGTTTTTTGTGTCTTTCTTGGTGAAAGTCTGGTTTTCTGGTCATCAAAACGCCAACCAACCATCTCGCGCTCGAGCGCCGAAGCATAATACAAAGGTGTTGCGAATACAGTTGCTAAGACAAGTTGGTTGTGTAATCTTCTACTTGAACTTTTGGTACCTATCACACAAGCCACCATAATTTATTATGACAACATTTCGGCCATTTATATGTCTGAAAATCCAGTTCAACACGAGCGAACAAAACATGTTGAAATCGACATCCACTTTGTTCGAGAAAAAGTTCGAGTTGGGTCTGTCAAAGTTCTACACATTCCTGCTGACTATCAATATGCAGACATATTCACTAAAGGCCTTCCACGGCAACTCTTCACCAAATTCAAGAAGAGTCTAAGCATTCGACCGGCTATAGCTCAGACTGTGGGGGAGTATTAGCGCACACAATTATTACTGCATATGTGTATTAGTTTAGCTTATTTACTTTCCTTATATATCCCTTTATTAGTTGTACTCTGCTGTACTCTGTATCTATATATATTGGAGGATGTAAATATGAAAGGAAGGGATTCAATCACACAATAATTTACATGCTTGACTTCATTTCATGTGATTTTTTATTTGAATTTATGTCCTCCCTTGGTTTTGGTTATGTATGAAAAAAGCTGGATTATGGCGTGGTGAAGTCTTCTAGATTGTCGGTGCTTGTTAATGGTAGTCCCATTGAAGATTTTTTTCCATAAAAATAGGTTTTCGTTAGGGAGATATTTTATATCCTTTTCTTTCTTCACGCTTGTTTATGGAGGCCTTAAATGTTGTAGTTGTAGATGTGGTTCATGCATGTTTGTTCAAACCGGATAAAGTGATTAAATATGAGGTGTTGATCTCTTATTTGTTTTATGCAAACAACTACGAACAAATGGTTCAGTTCTTGGACATTAGAATTGAACTTAATCAGTATTTGGGTATTTTGGTACCGAGTTCGCCGGTTCTACCCATAACAGGTCCCATATAACCAAAACAATAATTTGAAAAGACACTTTTTAAT